GCAACATTACAACGATGTGACAAAGATTGAAAGTTGGCTGCAAGAGCAGGTCCAATCATGTTTACAATGCGTTTTAGCACCTTGTCAAAAAGAGAAAGGGCATCATTAGAAGATCTTCCCCAGATATGGCATCAGTATTCCATACAAGACCGGATTTGAAATTTATAAAGATAGAGAATAGAATCTAGAGAAAGAAAGTGTCGAGCTCGATAAAGAGATGCAACTTTAGAAGATGCTAATTTTGTAACGGATTTGATATAGGTTTCCAAGAAAGATCAGAAGTAAGAGTTAATCCAAGAGATGAAGGGTAGATAACTCATCAAGTAGATTACAGTTCATAAATATAGGTAGGTCTAAATTATTGCGATAATGGTATGCTAAAAAAAGTTGAGTTTTATCTGAATTAAAGTTCACCAGCCACTGTGAGCCTCATGTTGTAGCAGAAGTGAGATCTGTTTCAAACTTAAATGCCCCCTGCAAGCAATCAGAGGAAGTTGGCTTTTTATTGTGACAAGAATAAATGGTAGTATCATCAGCGAACAATGCACCTTAGATGTAAGAATATATGAGAATGATGAGAATAAATTAAAAAGAGCAAAGGGCCAAGGTATGAACCTTGAGGAACCCCTGAGGTTACAGAATAAGAAGAAGAGTGCTGTCCATCAAGGACAACTTTTATACTACGATTGGAAAGAAAAGATTTAATAATCTTAAAGATGTTTCCAGATACACCGTAAGAAGAAAGCTTATGGAGAAGACCAACATGCCAAATTTTATCAAACGCTTTAGAAATTTAAAGAGCCAAGGCCTTAACCTCTCTACCTTTATCTAATGCGCGATAAAACCTATCGGTTATTACTGTTAGCAAATCAGCCATTGAACGAGAAGATAAAAATCCATATTAACTGATCAGAAAGTAAGTTATTAGATTCAAGATGAGAGATTGAGTGTTTGTTAATTAAAGATTCAAAAACCTTGCTTAAGATAGGAATAAGACTAATGGGACATCAGTTAGACAAATCAGATCGCTCTCCAGAATTTAAAAAAATAGGGATAACAGATGCTGCTTTCAGCAGGCTGGAAAACAAGACTCTGATAAGTACTTGTTAAATAGTTTTGAAAGGAAAGACGACAGCTCCGGAGAACACTTCTGCAAGACTACAACAGGTCTGAGCTTTATGTAGGTACGTATATATATGTACATTGTAGGCCACAAGCTGTGAAGAGTTCAAGCAGGAAATCACTTTAGATACAGAAGCTGGAGCGATACGGATGCCAAGCAATGGATCAACCTGTTTGACGGCTATATCAGGTAGAACGCAACTAGTGGAATTAACAGATGATATTGATGAAAAGTTCTTAGCAAATAATTCAGCTTTGTCTTTAGGTGAGGTGACAAAAACTGAACCATACAAAAGAGATGGAATTACAGACTTGTCCTTATTATTGATATTATTAAAGATTCTGCAGAAGTCACGAGAACCTTATTTTTGTGATGAAATATGAGATTTCATGATCTGAGAATAGCGGGCTTTGGCGTTAGACAAAACGTTTTTACAATGGTTCCTTGCAGTAATAAACAGATGCCTGTTTTCTGGAGAATTATTTTGCTAATAGATATGGAAGTAATGGTTTCGATTGGCGATTGCAGCAGCACAATGTGAGGAAAACCACGGAGAAGAACGAGGCTTGACCTGGAATCGTTGAGAGGGAAAAAAAGATTCTATGCCAGCCTGAATCCACAAAGATATGTAAATAGCACATTTGTCAACAGGTCAACAGGAAGACAAAAAAACTCTACCCAAGGGCCATCACAAAGAAAATCACGGAAAGAGTCCCAGTCAGCTTTAAGGTAGTTGCAAGATGTACGATGAGCACTTACTAGGATCAGAAACAAGATATAAGTCGAGTAGAGAAGATAAATAATTCGGGTTGTCTGGAAAGCAAGTTGGAAAGTTGACTATTTGAATTAGGGATTGAGAAAAACAAAAGTTATGGGCTTTAATGCCTGCAGAGTCAGTGACACTAGAGCGAAGCCATTCAGTGTGATGAACATTAAAATCACTGACAACAACAATATTGGCTGATGGATAAAGAGAGAGGGCTCGGTCAATATGATCATAAATAACATCAAGAAGAGTGTAGTCTTGAAATAAAGGAGAGCGATATAGAACAAAGAAAAAGGCAATAGAGTGAAGTGGTGCTAAACGAAAACACATAAAAGAGTAGTCTGTGGATTCTAACCTAGTTTCTCGAAAAATGAGTGAATTCTTTTGAATGTAAATGGCCAGGCTAAGCATTTGACTATTGGAGTCTTTACGAATAAAAGGAAGATAACCATCAACACTTATACCACAAGATGAGACAGCTTAACTCAAATTAGTCTCACAAAGAGCAAGTAGGTCTGGTGAACTTTGCAAGAGATAAGACTCAACAGAAGAAAACTTCAAAGACCACGAATATTAGTGAATGATAGGTTTAATGAACTTGGTGATATGGTTTTTTGTTTTTTATAGTTTATTTTACTTTATTCATTTTTAAATTTGTTAAAGAACTTGACATATATACATGAAACATAGATAGTACTCAGTACACTGCTTAATGGCCCAAGCAATTGCCTCATTACTATTAACAAACCCTAAGCTGTAACAAAGGGCTCCAATGTAGCCTCGGCAATGCACACCAAAATGTCAAACAGGGACACCATCCATGCGCAACATGGCACTTTTAATACTTTTATATTTTTCAGCTGTTGATGGAAACAGCCTATCTGAGAGCTACCACAGAGTTCGGGAAACCTGACTACCTGCCAGCCTCAGAACCATAAAACTGAGTTTTAGAGCTGTACCCTCATTAGGAGATAATAGTATGAGTTGCCTAGTCATAAAAACAGAGACACAAGCAAAACCCATGCATTGAGTCAAGAAGATCCAGCATTCAACATCCTAAACCGGCCTAATAGATGAAGAAGGGGTGCAAGGCTGGTCAACAGATAGAATCTGTTCACCCCTTAAGTCTTTGCTCAGTAGGCCTTCTACAAAATAGCAGCCGGATGCATTTAACATCTGCCCAAGATGAGTATTTTTATCGAGACACCATCTCTAGCCTTTACTCAACCAAGCGCCCCAAGGCAGGGGGTGTTTTATGTCGGAGTTGGCATCTCCTAGCCTTCGCCTAAAAAGATGTATCCTACAAGGCAACAGGACATGAAGCAGATTGTACTGGTTTACATGTTACCAGCAGCAGAATAAATCTGACCTGACAATCATACAAGAATATTAAAAAATCTATTTGTACTAAGTCTCTTAGAAATTAAAAATTAAAAATTTGCACACAATATAAAATTGTTTGAAATTTGCAATGATTGACACTCAACCTACTTAAGTTTATGTTTTAAAACAATTTTTGCACCGGATTAATTAATTAACAAATAATTGAATTTGAATAAACTTGCTTAAACTTTTGTGCTACTTATTTTTCACATGTGTATTTTTATAACTAACTTTTTTTAAATTAATATAAATAATTTCATAACAAGTTCACATTTATTGTAAACCTAACTAATTTTTTTTGATAATTAAAAAAAGTCGACATCATTTTTACTTTTTTTTTAATTAAGAAAAAACTAAACCTACTTGATCAAAATTACACCATCGTTTAAACTTTAGTGAGTATTGCAAATTTAACTTAACTTTAGCTGTATTGCAAAAAAAAAAAGTTTTGGATATATTGCTCCAGTTCCATCAGAGTAAGGCTCAAATGTTTTATTAGAGAAAAAGAGCTACATATCTTCCAGTTCATCACGCTTTTAATTGTGAAGTCATTTGCTTGGATTTCACACACACAAAAAAAATACCCAAAGGTTTGAAATCAATATGTAAACTATTCCAGACAATTAATGTTTTATTTTTTTATTTACTTATATACTTTTAACTCGAAAATTATACTTTTATTGCTATTATGAAACTGTTGTAAACAGGTGGTCTGATGATGTATGTTCTATGCTGCATGATTTTAAATCTCAAATGTAAAGAATATAAAATTGATTTTCAATTATATGCAAAATATAAAATGAAAAGTTTTAAATTGATTTTATTATCTAATTCATAAAACTGAAAACCCTGACAGCATTACTGTTTCATTCTCATGTTCGTCAAGGTTCGTGTTTGGGAGTTATAGAGTTGAGAGAAAGTTATAACCACCAGTAGCCTCTTAATCTGTAGTGGGCCTTGGGGAAGTGAATTACAAAAAAAAAAAAAAAAAAAAAAAAAAAAATAGAATTCTGTCATATTCTGTATAGGTATGTCACCTCTATAGAATGTAAAAAAAATGCGGCCAATACAAATCATAAGTTTTTGACAGAAGCACAAGACGTTCTCACAAAAAACCATAACAATTCAATATTATATATAAACATAATACAAAAAAAATTCCTGAAACTTGCAGAGTTTCAGAGCCAAACTTCTGTGTTGTTTTCACCATAAGACATGTTCACTTAGAGAAATTGAAATATTAAAGGCTACTTTAAAATTTAATTATATGGAAAACTGGAAAAATTTAATTTTATGTGTGTTACATCCCATATGTTTATATCAAAGATCGAAGTGCCTGATAAACATACCTAACTCTGTTGCCTTTTTTTTGTTAAAAATTTAAAGACTTATTGAAGCTAAACATTATCCAAGTGTACAAAATAAGACATTATTTGATATTATTTTATATTAAATTAAAAAATAATAAGTTTTAGTAGTATATATAAATCAAACTTTTTAAATCAAAATTATTGATCTTTTCAGAGAAATTAAACACAAGATATTTTAATTATAGATTTTATTTGTATCTTACAAAATATTTTATAATTATTTCTTTCAATATAAGTTTAAAAAAAAAATTATAACCCTGACATTAGTCCAAAACCTTACCTATGTTTGCAAATATTTGTATAAATTTGAAAACTAATTTAAATGGTATAATAAATGACAATTTTAAATTATAATAACCTTTTCTTCTTGTAGCAATTTAACAGCTGCTTCTATATCAGGAGCCATAAAACGATCTGTATCATACACTCTTAAACAATAAATAAAGTATCAAAAACAACAACAACAACAGATACTAATTGACTTTTAAAATTTAAAATAAATTTATGACAAGCATAAAAAATTTTCTTTTTTCTACAGAAAACTTTGCATCTTTGCTATTGTATTTTTCTACAGAAAACTTAGCAACTTTGCCATTGTATTAAAAATATTTTAAAGCCAATTTAATTTCACTAAAAACATATGTTTAGTGAAATTATCTAAGAAATTGTATTAATAATAGAGTAAATATTTTCACAGGGCTGCACATTTGCACATCATCTATTTTATTTCAGAAGAGAGATTAGATTTAAAATCAGCCACCTGTTCTAACAACATAGTTTCAAGGCTCATGCAACAAATTTTCACTGCTGATGTCCTATACTGAATAATGAAACAATTTGAAAAAAAATTTTGAAACATAGCTTTAAAATGTACCCATTTAAAAAACTTTTTAAATGTACCCAATTCCATGCAAGCTTAGTTCCACACAAACCACATTCCGTGTTCTAAACAAACCGCACAAACCAAGGTCCATGCAAACTTAATTCCATGCAAACTTAGTTCCGCGCAAACTTAGTTCTGCGCAAACTTAGAAAATAGTTACAGAGTGACTTTTATCAAACTTAATGAGAATAGTAATGTGTGACAAGTTTTCTTGTTAGAGGTCTTCTTGTGAGCTATTTTATCATCAAAAACTGAAATGTTTGAACTTTTATTTGAGCAGACTGAAAACCTTGAAAAAGAATTTAGATCTGCTATGCATTGTTTTCATAGATATTGTTTTTCCAGCAATATCAGTTAACTATAGATTTGCAAGCAACCACTATTGAGTTTGGAGTTACTAATTTAATTCAAGAGCAAGGAAACGGATGACAGGGAAATTGAAAAGATGAAGGTTTTATAAATCAGGAAAACCTGAAGGTGAGATAGATTTCCAAAACATTAAAGTCAAGGGGAAAAAACTAGACGAATAAAAGTTTTTTGAATGAAGAGACTGATGCAGTAAAAGGACTTTGCTGAGTAAAAATAAGTTTTGGTTGTTCCATCAACAGATGAAAACTCGTTTGATCAACGACTATGATATATTTGTATGTAGTTTTCGTAAAATAGAGAAAGAAATACATTATTACAATGATGGGAGAGCTCCTCAAGCTTTGCAGATAAAGGAGGTCCAAAAACATTCAACAGAGAAAAAATATCAATTGAAGAACCAGTTAAAATATGACAACAGTATTCCATAAAATGGCAAATAAGAGATTTGTAGAAGTAGATAATGAAATCAAGAGTAAGAAAATGATAAAGAGAAACAATTTATAATTAGCAGATTATTAAAATATCGTGGATCTTTTGTTTGGAAAAATAAGGATACATTAACAATTTATATTAGCAGGTGCTAACATAGCAATTGATTGGTTTTTATTAGAGGTCATTAGTGAATGATAATAGACATTAAGAAGAGGATTTAGTGAAAAGTTTGACATTCATAAATCCAAGAATGTCAACAATATTACTGCTTTTGCAGTTTATAATTGAAATTTCTTGGAGTTAAAATTTATTAGCCACTGTAAACCCCAAGCTGTTGCAGGAGAGAGAACAGATACGAGATCAGCTGCCTGTTCTAAGGAATTGAAAAGAGAAAACTTTTTGTCATGACAGGAGTCTTGAAACAAATTAAAGAGTGAAACAAATCAAAGAGTGAAAGTAAGTAGTTTGGGTTGTCTGGAAAATGAGTCACAAATTTAACTATCTAAGTAATATTCCATCTTAGAGATTATACTATGATACTATGCCATTATACTATGCCATTATGTTATGCTATACTTTGTATTACAGAGATGCAAATGGATCAGCTAGTGGATCAGAAAAGGCATCAAGTCAATGGTGTGTCTGGCTTAAGTATAGGTCTCCACTTCTTACAGCCAATGATGCATCTTTAAAAATTAAAGGAAAGTTGTACACCAATTGTGTCAGGAGAGTGCATGGCATGTACACCACTTGTGTCTAGAGCATGTATGACAGTAAAACATTAATGAAGTAAATTGACAGTTTAGTGTCATGAAAGAAAAAAGAAAATGATTATCTAAAAGATAAGAAACGATCATTTAAGACAGAAATTGTAAGAGTATAAAGGTAATGATGAGTCAAGGAAGATTAGTTTTGTTTCGGTATGTAAAGATGCAAATGATTGGGTATCAGCATATAGATAATTGTTTATGAATATAAAAATAAACAATTCAAAAAAAGTCAGAACAAAAAATAGTGTACTAAAGAAAACATAAAAACTGCAGTTGTGTTTATTAGAGAAATGTAATTATTAAGAAACTTCCAACCTGTATAAGCCAGGAACCAAACACTAAAAAAGTAATGGCGATGATTATGATTTTCAAGTAATTCACTGATAAATATTTCATTTGATAAATATTTTTTCTTTATCAAATTTATGGTAAAATCTGATTCTGATCTAATCAATCTTTTTGTACAAAAAACATCAAAAATGAAAGATTGACCTAAACTTTTTAACATTCAAAATGTCCAACAAACTCTAATACAACTATAACAGTAATGTTTTATTATTTTTATAATAGACTTATGACTTCGAATTAATTTTAGAATAAACTTATAAAATAAAATAAATTTAAACACACACACACAAACACACACACAGATATATATATATATATATATATATATATATATATATATATATATATATATATATATATATATATATATATATATATATATATATATATATATATATATATATATATATATATATATATATATATATATATATATATATATTTAATAAAATAATTACTATATGCATATATATTATAAAAATTTATTCTTTTACTTTCTATTTTTAATAGAAAAATTTTTTTTTTCTAAATTTAAAAACTTAAAATCTTGAAAGTTTTTTTCAATTTTTCAAAAAATTCAGCAAAGATTTAATTATTCAATTATCATATTATTATTGCAACAATTCTTTTATTTAAATCCTAAGCTTTAAAACAGAGAGCTGGGCCCTATGACAGATTGAGGAGAAAAACAAAATAATAATTTAATTATAAGCAAAAAAAATTATAATAATTTTCAAATTAGCCATATTGATTTAAAAACTGATCAAATTTAATAAAAAAAAACTATTGTTTTATATGAATTTCCTCCACTCCCAAAATATTTTAATTATTCTCTTAACAACCATTTTATGGAGAAAGTAAAATACATGGAGAAAGTCCAACACTATCAAGGCTTGAGTCCAACACTATCAAGGTCTGAGTCCAACACTATCAAGGTCTGAGTCAATAACATTGATTGTACAACATTTGTAAACTTCTACTTATTAATATTTATTTTGTTTGATTATTTTATATATTTATTATCCAAGAAAAAGTTATAAAATCTATTTTGCTTGTGACGTTTTCCATGATTTTGGTCAACATACATGACAATATACATAAAGACATAAATAAACAAACAACTTTAAAACATCATACCGAACAACTGAGCGAACAGTACGGTATACAGCTTCAAGTGGCTCAGTACATTTAAGTGGACGTAAAAATTCTAATCCTTGACATGCAGCAAGCAACTCAATGGCAAGAACTAAAATAAAATGACAGATGTTTTATTGTGAATATTTATAAATATAAATATCATTAAATAAATGTAATTAAACCTGTAATTAAAGATATATTATCAAATAAATTTTTTCTTTTAACTCAAAAAATTACAAAAAAAAAAAAAAAAAAAAAAAAAAATTCACAAAACAGTCAATATTATATTATTATATACAAAATTGATAAAAAAACATATAGAGAATTTTAAAATTACATTTATTTAAAATTTAAATTTTTTTTAGAGTTTTTTATTTTAAATTATAGAAGCAATTTTTATTTTTTAAACATTTTTCTGATTTGAGGTAGCAAATTTTACAACAAATAAAATGTTTATCAGATAGGATAAACTAATTTATCCTTTTAGTGTTTGATTTAATTTATCTTTGTGTGTTGGAGCTTCTTACATTTACAAAGATTACTACACTCAATTTGTAAAGCACCGATATTTCAAAGAAATAAAAAAGGAGATAAATGCAATGTATATAATTTGAAAAAGGAGTGTGGATACTAACATTTCATTTTATTTTACATATGGTAGATAACTTACACTTTCTTTTTGATTTATTTCTTTTTTAATTTATCTTTTAAAAAACAAACAAATATAAGTATAAAGGAACAATTACAGAAAAAGCAATTTGAATGAAGTTGAATGAATGCAACTTAACTGAACAAATGCAACTGAGCTCAATGGATACAACTGAGCTAAATCTTTGTTTATCAACTTCAGTGCCACCATTTATTACATTATAGATTCTGTTATTACAATTGATAAGTCAGCAGTAGATCGAAATTGGTCAGAAAGTCAAAATAAGAAAATAGAAATTGATTAAAAAATCAAAGACTTATAATTGTAAAGAGACTGGGCAATAGTAAGAGAGGTAAAAGCAATTTCCAGAGTTTTTAATAAGTTTGACAACAAATGCAATTTTTTAGCAGACATCAAAACAAGATTTATTAAAGCACTTGTTAAATAGATTGGAGGAGATAGATAAATAGAATTGAGGAAGGTTCTGAAAAATGCATTTGTATGATTTCAACAGAAATGTTGAAATCATACAAATGCATTTTTCAGAAACCCAGAAGATTATGTAGACAAAGCAACATTCAACAGAAAGGCACGAGATATTAGCTAAAAGACAATCACAAAGAAAATCCACAAAATCACAAAGAAAATTCACAAAAAGAAAGTAAAAAATCTGGAGAATAAGTATCAAATAAAATGCAGAATGTGATAAAAGTTTTTTCTATAGGATAAAAGAAATGCAGAATGTGATAAAAGTTTTTTCTATAGGATAAAAGAAATGCAGAAAGTGATAAAAGTTTTTTCTATAGGATAAAAGAAATGCAGAATATGATAAAAGTTTTTTCTATAGGATAAAAGAAATGCAGAATGTGATAAAAGTTTTTTCTATAGGATAAAAGAAATGCAGAATGTGATAAAAGTTTTTTCTATAGGATAAAAGAAATGCAGAATGTGATAAAAGTTTTTTCTATAGGATAAAAGAAATGCAGAATGTGATAAAAGTTTTTTCTATAAGATAAAAGAAATGCAGAATGTGATAAAAGTTTTTTCTATAAGATAAAAGAAATGCAGAATGTGATAAAAGTTTTAAACCACAGCATGAAGCTACAATCAAGGGCAAGAGTAAGACAAAATCAAGGAGCAAAGGTAAGTGATTGTCAGGAAAGCAAGTCACCAAGTTAACAATCTGAATAAGAGATTAAAAAACAAAAATTTATTTAGTGGCATCCAGTGGTCAGTGACAGCAGGGTCAGTGGCATTTAAGCCAAGGAAGTGTAATGAACATTATTAGCTTATAATAACAATAGCTGATAAAAATTAAAAACTTATTTATTTGGATTATATTAGGATTAATTTTTGTTCTGACTTTATTTGAATTGTTTATTTATTTATTTTTTTTTTTGAGTTCTTTTTTCAATTAATTTTTAACCATTTCTTTTCTGACTATAAATTCATAATTATTGTTTAGAAAAACAAACGAAAAACAAAAATGTTAGTGTTTTAAAGGAAAATAGTTTTTCAAAAGCTGATTAGCATATTAGTTTAAGTCAAACTTTGTTTTTTAAAACATTTTTTTCCCTAGAAATATCATGCTTTATTTTCTTTATTCTAGAAATTCTATCATGCTTTAGTTTCTTTATCATAGAAATAATTTTGTAAAATTATAAATAAATTTGTATATATTATATATAGAAATTTATTTATAATTTTTCAAATTTATATATACAAATAGATATAAAGATAAAAAAAAAATTTTAATATTATTTATTTCTAAAAATCTTTTAAATTCAGCGCATTTTTGATTTAATTGAAGCTGTTCAAGTTGTCAAAACAAAATATTATTTGTGTGGTCATATAATTGCGTGAAATTGCACAACTTCCTGACCAAGACTGCCTATGCTAGAAATATGAACACGTTTCTCTTTCTCTATTCTAGAAATACCATCATGTCTCACTTTCTCTATTCTAGAAATACCATCATTCTTCATTTTCTCTATTCTAGAAATACCATCATTCTTCACTCTCTCTATTCTAGAAATACCATCATGCTTAATTCTCTCTATTCTAGAAATACCATCATGCTTCATTTTCTCTATTCTAGAAATACCATCATTCTTCACTCTCTCTATTCTAGAAATACCATCATGCTTAATTCTCTCTATTCTAGAAATACCATCATTCTTTACTTTCTCTCTTCTAAAAATACTAACAATCACATAAAATTAATTATATTACTGGTATCATCTTGATAATAACAAACCATATTCAACATGTTCTACAACATCAATTGCTTTTCTTGCAGCAAAACCACCCATAGAAACATGATCTTCTGTTCCTGCTGATGTGGTGAGAGAATCTACAGAGGAGGGGTGTGTAAGAACCTTATTCTCTGATACCAGAGCTGCAGCAGTACATTGTGCTAACATAAAACCTAAAATGATTAAAATAAACAACTTATCTGAAGATATTAAATCAAACTTTAAAAAGTTATATATAAACATTTCAAATTTTAAAAAATAAATGCATCTTGACATCCTCTACATCTAACATTATGTTTATAGAAATTTAAAAAGGCAGCAAGTTTTACTAATTAAAAAAAAAAGCAAGATGTCTCACTTAATAGTTGTAAACTTATACAAAATAAAAAATAAGTTTCTTTTTCACCTGAATTTAAACCTCCATTGTTTACAAGAAATGCTGGTAAATCGCTGTAATTTGGATTAATAAGACGCTCCAATCTTCGCTCACTCATGTTTGCAAGTTCATGAATGCCAATTGCAAGGTAGTCAAGAACTTTTGCAGGATACTCACCATGGAAGTTTCCACCTGATACTGTTTCACCTAGATCCGCAAATACCATCTTGACATGTTAAAGAATTGAAATTTTAGTTAAAAAACAATTAAAAAGTATTCATATCTTAAAAATAATATCAAACTGTTTTATTCCATCAATCAGTTTTTATTTCGCCAATCAGTTTTTATTTCAACAATCAGTATTTCTTTCATCAATCAGATTGCTTAAAACAATATTAGAAAAGAACAGAAAAGATTCTTTTTAACTTTTTATATCAAAAGAAACAAATAAAAAGGATACAGGATTATCAGTGGCACTGTTGCATTCAACTGTTAAAACATTGTTAACAAACTCAACTGTATCATTAACTATACCATGAACCTAAGATGATAAAAAGCAAAAATTGAAAAAAACTAAAAAATTTAGACATAAAAAAAACAAAAAACAGAAGAAAATATTTTAATAGTTTTTAAATATTTTCAAAGATTTTTTTCTTTATTTTTCTTTATTTTATGGCAGTAATATATACTCCTTTTCCAGTCTTCAGGCTATGAGATGTAGTCAATGTAGCATCACTTCCTTGCAGCGGCGGGCTATGAGATTGTCAATGTAGTGACAACCCTCGCATGTTTTACAGTTAAAAAGCTACACTCCTTGCATGTTTTATATATTTGTCATTCAATGTAGCAACACTCTTTGCATGTTTTAAAAATATTATAAAACAATAAAAAAATAAAAACACCATTAACTAAAATAATTTTCTAGTCATTATTATTGCCGTTTTTTAAAAAACGATAAAACTTTTGAGAATCCCAAACAACCAAGACATGTTGTGTTCATATTAAAGAGAATGATAAAAAAAAAAATGTTTCAACTAATTTTTTTAGATTAAAACAAAAGAAAAAAAAATACCATGAAAAATTAACTTTTTTATTTTAGTTGAAGCTCACCTCCATTTTATTGTAGGCCTAAAAGTCAGCATAATTTATGCCGCAATCTACAGTCTTGATAATTTATTCAAGCGCATCTTATTCCTAAGAATTTTAGTATAAAACATCATTGACTTTTTTGTTTGTTAATATAATTGATCTCTTGCGCAAAAAATGAATCGAGAGAAAGATTAAGAACAACAAAATCTGGAACATGAAAAGTAAAAGTAAAAAAGAAAGCGAATTAAAAAGATATTATGGAGATATATTAAATTAAAAGACTTAAAAAGAGATTAATTCAATAAAAAAAATTTTTGGAGTTAAATAAAGAATTGAGATTTATTTAATTTAGTAAGTTAGAGTATAAAATATATTTTTAATTTTTTTTTTCTCAATAAAATGTACCTGAGGACAACATCTTAAGGTATATGCATCTTGCACTTTTCCACAGAATCTATGACTCTCTAATAAATATTACAATTATAATATAAATATGTTAGAAATAACAAATAAAAAAGAATTATATAGATTATTTATTATGCACCATATGATAAATATTATGAATGAATATAAAAATAAAGAAATAAATATATATACACTACCATCCATAATTATTCCAATATTCATAATTTTCGATATAAGATATCAAGGTTTTACTTACTATCGAGAAAAAAAATGAAAACAATACCTATCTGAATTATATGTTATCTTATTTATTAGGTTTACAAAAAAATTAATATAAATTCCATTAGATTTGTTTATAATTTACTTTCCTATGAGTGACAATAAACGCCATACATATTCTTGGCATTCTACTTAACAACCTATCCAATTTGTCAAAGTCGTTTTTATGCCACTAACTAATATGTTTTTCCCACATCTTATGCATTATTACACATTAGTTTTTGACATTACTTATAACACCTCTAATAAAAATCTAAAAAGAGGGAGATCTTGTGGTTGGGGAAGCTAAATCATTCTACTCAATATTTGATCATTCTCAAACTCAGTCAAATAGCTTATCCAATTTTCTGAAGAATATGTTTTGGATTTAACCTTTAAGTCATATTCTTCTAAAAAATTATATGGTTTTCTAATAACCTAACTTTCCAAAGGTATAGCATGACTTTTTAAGTGTCCAAGTAAATTATTTTTGTCATTACTCCCTCTATTTTTACTATGTCACCTGTGGCATTCCAACTAAAACAGCCCCATACTTTAACACTACATCCACCATGTTATAGAGTCAATAATTCATACTTTTTTATCAAACACTCAACGATTTTTTTCAGACAAACAATCTTCTCTTGAAACCAAAGATTTACAGGTCTGTCCATGTTTACAGTCATAGATAATCCATTTTTCAAATAGTTTTGCCCACTTAAGCAATTTTATTTATAGTTATATATATATATATATATATATATATATATATATAAAGGTAATATATTCTCCATAACATAAATTACTCACCAGCAACTTCTGAATGATAGACTTTAGAATGAAGCAAAGATCGTAACCTTGAAGCAACCAATATTTGCCCTTTATGAGGTCGAGTATTGTGAATTTCTAAATAAAAAGAATTTCAGAAAAACTCAAGAAAATAATAAGCAAAAATAAGAAAAAAAAACATCTTTTTAATTCTCATACATTTTTACCAAATATTTTTACCAAATATATATATATATATATATATATACATATATATATATATATATATATATATATATATATATATATATATATATATATATATATATATATATATATATATATATATATATATATATATATATATATATATATATATATATATATATATATATATATATATATATATATATATATATATATATATATATATATATATATATATATATATATATATACAGTACCGAACTTAATTAACTGGGCCAGCTGATTCTCATACAAAGTTATGACTTTCAGTCCATATTGTTTGATTAATTGACTTTTGGAAGTTAGGCAAACCTTTTGAAAAGTGATAATAATAACATTGAAGTTGATTTGTAAAATTAAATAAATATTTCTAAGAGGTTAGTAGATATTTAATAGTATTATTTGTGTACTTGGTGTGAAATTTAGTAAATTTATGATTTTCATGTGTTTGAATAATATGAAATAAAAGGAAATTATGTTATTGTTATATAAATTTGAGTGATAATTAAAGTTATCCAAATATGCACACAGGTAGTTTCATCCAAAAAAGTTGTAAAAACAATAAATATTCATTATTTATTTTAATTTTTTGGTATTTTATAAGAAAAAATAAGATAAATTGAAACAAAATAATTTAAAATTAAATTTAAAGTCAGCAATGCTTCCAATATGTAATATTGTGTCAAATAAAGCAGAATTTGTATAAAAGTTAAGTTATAATGGTATATTTTATCTTTTTAGAGAATGACTGGAGCTAAGAGATTAAGTATGGAGACGCGGATGAGGGTAGTCTTGCTGGCCGAGCAAGGTCATTCGCATCGCCAGATCGCTACAGACCTGAAAATCAACCGCAAAACCGTTGATTCATTGGTAATAAAGCATAAGAATACTGGCAGTGTTGGGGATTTAGCTGGAAGAGGGAGGAAGCGAGCTACCACTGAGCGAGAGGACAGGCAGCTCATCCGCATGTCAAAGCGTAACCGATGGTTGACTTCGCCGGAGCTGAAAAAGGCATGGAACGAGAACTACGGAGTTGACGTAACCAGCCATACTGTGCGTAAGAGACTGCGGGCAGCTAATCTGCGTGGTTGTGTAGCAGCAAAGAAACCACTTCTGTCCGAGAAGAATCATCACAGCAGACTGGAATGGGCAAAAGTTCATAAGGATTGGACGACCGATGACTGGAGCAGAATGTTATGGTCAGAGGAGAGCCCGTTTGAGTTGTTCTGTGCTGCAAAGCGTGCCTTTGTAAGAAGGAGGCCAGGGGAGAGATTTAATGCTGACTGTATTCTGCCAACAGTAAAACATGGGGGTGGGTCAATAATGGTATGGGGTTGCATGAATGGTTTCGGGACGGTAGAAGTTATGATGGTCAGCAGTATATTTTCCAACATGACAATGCACCTTGTCACACAGCAAAGACTGTGACCACATTTCTCAGGTCTAAAGGTGTCACAACGATGACTTGGCCGGCCCAGAGTCCGGACATAAACCCGATTGAGAATTTGTGGGAAGTGCTATTCAAAAAGGTGCAGAACAGAAAGCCAAGTAATCTGGATGAATTGTGGCACATGATTTCCAATGCCTGGAATAATATATCACGTGACACTCTCCAGAATCTGGTACAGTCAATGCCGCGTCGCTTGAGGGAATTATTGAGGGTCAAGGATCGAAGTACAAAATATTAGATTTTTTTCTTTCAATGACTGAATTTCTTTGTTATATTGTTATATTTACATATTTTGTAGATTATTATATAATACTATTGCTATCTGTAAATAATTAAATCAGTATTATTCAAGATTGTGTCTTCTTTGCATGAAAATGTGACTGGCCCAGTTAATTAAGTTCGGTACTGTATATATATATATGTAACCATATATATATGTAACCACATAATATAAAAAACACATATTGAAACTTTTTAGTCCCTGTGTAATAAGGTATAATATATATAAAATATTTCTCAACTGGGAAGTAATCCACTGTTATTCAGGGTGGTAGCCCTTCCACCATCACAGCAATACAAAGAAAGCACATAACTTAACATTTCTTCATCTTGTGCAAAGTATTATGGTTAATAAAATTGATGCAAATGGTTACTCAGCCATCAAAAACTTAGCACCGTCAATCGCACACCTTGATATCTGGATTATGGAGCTCATGAACATTATTTCAGTACTATCAACCTGCAAGCCAACCAAATAAAAAAATTTGAACAAAAATTAGCAGTTATTGAAACCAAAATCAACTCTCAACCAGCCACCCAATCAAGCTCACACCAGCCATCCTGGAGCAATATTGTTAGAAACAAGCCAAACTCATCACCGCAAATCGGTCAAGTCCTTGTTGAACTAAAACAATCAACTAAGCGTGAAAAGAATATAACAATATTCGGTGTCCCAGAACCAGTGTCTGCAGCAAATGTCACCTAAACACCACCATTTGCATTAACCTGCATCACAGAGCTTCTTAACGTTATAGGCCTTACCAATGATGATGTTAGTTTCTCCAAACGTCTTAACACAAAAAAAGTATCAAATTGTCGGCTATTGTTGTAGAATTCAAGAATATTAATCAAAAAAAATTAGCTCTGATGAACTCTCCCAAACTCGCTACACATGAGAATTTCAAGACATACAGAGTTAGTCCTGATTTGTCTCCTGCTGAAAAAGAACTTGAGTACCAACTACACAAAGACCGCAATATTCGTAATGATAAACTCTATATTGATAAGCCTGATGCACCTTTTCACTGGGGCATTCGTGATGGAGCAATCATCAAGATCCGCGTTACCCTTACTCCTCGCTCCATCCCAACTAACTAGCTATAACCTATACATCAATCGCCTACCAACCATCTGTACCACTAATATGCGCTCACTCTGTAACAAAATTGAGATTTTTAATCAATTTCTTATAGATACCAACATTGACATTGCCTGTTTAACTGAAACCTGGCTTAACCCTAGCGGTAAACAAATTATTCTTTCTCAAATCAATAATAATTACACTTGCATAAGCACTGAACGTCAAGATCGCACGGGTGGTGGTACCGTTATATTCATAAACAAAAAATACTCAGATAAAATTGAAAAAAATAAAGTTAACTACAGACTACTTGTCTAACTTGGAGCCTAAACAGTCGAACTAACAATCGCTCGTGTATACCCAAAGCTACTACCCCGAGATTATTCTTCCTGTCTAGTTATATGTGCCTATATCCTGGTTTGGTCTAAAAGTAAGAAGCGCAATGCATCTTATCAACTTGCTCAACTCATTGAACCAGCCATAATTTGTTGCACAATGGGCAACAAACCACTAATATTTCTTGCAGGGGATCTAAATGGCTGCTCTACTGACTTTATTTGTTGTTCTCACTAACTCATTTATCTTAATGCACACCCTACCAGAAAAACATCTATTCTTGACATCATCTTGAATAACGCTCCTAAATGCTATGTGTTGTATACCCTTCCTAGTTTTGGTAATTCAGATCATTATGTCGTAGTTAGTCAACCTCCTCTAAATCTCTATAAATCTACTTTCCCAGTTCCCCACAAGATTGCTTACCGGTCAGGTAGAATTGCTGATACTGCTGCACTGATACGATCCACCGATAGTGAAACCTTAGTTGATTCACCGTATGAAATACAAGTTGCTTGCAACAACTTTTATTATTCTATACTCTCTGCTCAAGACATATGCCAACCTCTAAAATCAACAACGCTCATTAACCCTAAGCCTTGGATGACACCACTTATTCAGGCCTTATAAAAGAGCGCCAAAAACTCTTTTTTTCCAGGAACTACAAAGAGTGGAAATCGCTTGCAAATCAAATTAGTAAACTAATTACCAAAAGAAAAAGAATCTATAATAGACGTTTCACTTCTAGAAAAACAGATTTTTGGCGTGAAATCAGTCTTGATAAAGGTCAAATCACCACCCCTATCTCTGCGACACTAGCAAACCAATTAAATGATCACTTTCAAAGTGTTTGGATTGGTAATAAACAACCTAACCTCTCATGCTTCATCAACCGAGAGGCAAACCCGCCTAATACCCCAATTTTTACTTATAACATTCTCAACCAACTCAGTAAACTCAAACCAGGGTCCTCAGGACTAGATGACCTATCTCTATTTTTACTCAAATCTGCTTGCTTTAAAATTGTCCCATCGCTCTGCATCCTATTCAACCGCCTCATAGAAAACAGTTACCTACCTGACCAATGGAAATCAGTAAACATAACACCGGTTCCAAAAATTTCTAACCCACACTTATCTAATGACTACCGTCCAATTGCCATTACATCCACATTGTGTAAAGTTTTTAAACGTATTATCTACAAATTCATTGTCCATCACACCAAGCACTTATGGGTCTTAAACAAACAGTTCGGATTCCTTCCAGGCTGAAGTACAATGAATGCTATTATTCAAATTATAGAGGACTGGAGTCATGCAAAAGATAACAACAAATCAATTTATTTAATATTCTTTGATTTCGAAAAAGCTTTTGATCTTGACAGTCATGACAAGCTACTTCTAAAGTTAGTAAACTTACTACCTAGCTGGCTCACCTCCTGGATTACAGCTTACTTATCTAACCGTCAACAAAGAATTAAAACAAATAATCACACCACTGAATGGAAATGTATTGAAGCCGGTGTACTTCAGGGTAGTGTTCTAGGTCCAATCCTGTTTATTCTATTTATTTCCAACATTAACGCCTTCCACCTGAAACGATCCTCGAAAAATATGCTGATGACATACTGACCTATATAATTAATGATAAAGTTCCTCCAAACCTACCTCAATTCATTGTTGATGGCGCCACTCTTTGATCTATGGTAAACAGAATGAAACTTAATGGCCCTAAATTTAAAATCATAACAATTATTCCTAGGTGCTCCGAAATTCAAGCTTTACCATCCTCTGTACTCAATAATACTGAACTTGAAATAGTCAGCAGCCACAAATACCTTGGAGTCATGCTCAATGAGAATATTGATTGGGATGAACAGTGGAAAAAAGTTCACAACAATATAAAATCAGTGCCATATCTAATCAAACATCTTAAACAACTTAGACACACTCAGTCAAACCTTTTACAGGTCTACCGATCTTACGCTATTAGCCACTTGATATATAGTGCTCCTATTCTTACTTCATGCAGTGCTGCTGCAAAAAGAGAGATCAAACATTTTCATAAAAATGCCCTACACATTATTGGAATTGATGTAACCAACTTTGTGATGGCGTCCGTGACCTTTACCTACCAAGCAATATTGGGAGCTTTACTGCCTTTTTAATGCATAATTGATATGTTTCTTAACCTGCATTCTTAGAAATCTATTAACATTAAAGGACAGACAAAATTGTACAATTTATTAACTGTAATGCTATTGAATTTTAAATAAAGGTTTATAAAATAAATAAAAATTAAAAAATATATATATATACATATATATATATATATATATATATACATATATATATATATATATATATATATATATATATATATATATATATATATATATATATATATATATATATATATATATATATATATATCAGCGCCGTGGTGTAACTTTTGGGGGCCCTGTGCAGAAACTGAAAAAAAAAAATTTTCTTTCAATTCGAACTAATTTATGGTATTGGAGAAGTTTTTCTAATGTATTTAATAGGGGGCCCAGTGCGATTGCACTTGTTGCACTTGCGATAGTACGGCGCTGATATATATATATATATATATATATATATATATATATATATATATATATATATATATATATATATATATATATATATATATATATATATATATATATATATATATATATATGTATGTATATATATATATATATATATATATATATATATATATATTTATATATATATATATATATATATATATATATATATATATATATATATATATATATATATATACATATATATATATATATATATATATATATATATATATATATATATATATATATATATATAGATATATATATATATTATATAATTATTCAACAATTTTTTTTTAATAAACTTGAAATTCTTCTTTTTAAAGTATTACTTTCAACAAGAAGACAAACCAATTTTGGCTATTATCGTTCACCTAACTTTTAATTGGTAATTTATTGTATAACAATAACTATAAACAAAATTAAATTTCTTTTTTTTTTTTTTTTGTATATAAAATTTTATTTTCATTTATTAAACTATGTTTGCAAGAACCATATTTATTCAATTTTACTAAAAACCATATTTATTTAATTTTACTACAGAAAAAACTGATAACTTTAAATTTCTTGATTTAATCTGTGGTTTATCTATAAGAACAAATTTCAATTTCTAAGACTATAATGAACTTTGACCTTAAGATCGAAATGAACTTTGGTGCCAGTTTTTTTTTAAATTTATTTAGGTGCCTTAAGAATTCTTTATATTCTTATCGCAGAGCACCGCAATTGAGCTTTTATTTGGAAGTTCACGGCTCCTTCCTAAACAATGTCACAAGATTTGCCCAAAGGAAGGGTTGGAACCACAGATCCTTTGTTTCTGAGGCAAGAACTGCTACCACTGCGCCACAGCTGCTCAATGAAAATATTACAAAATACACAATACATAGTAAAAAATAATACCTTCATTGAAAGCTTTAGTTGTTCCCTTAAGTACTTCTATTGATAGTGCAGCAACAATATCAGCCTGTTTGCAAATGGCTTTTGCACGTTCCACAGCTAAAAATTTGAAATGAATCTTTTTTTAGTAAAAGGAACACATAAATGTTTGCAAAGAAAAAAAAAAAGCCCTGTAGTAAATTTTCAGTTTTTTTTTTATCGCATCACATTTGAACCACTCTATCAATCCATGCAATGAGCCTTAAGTTCATTTTTTGGTCAGTTTTGAGCCTTTTTTTAGTAAAATAGTGGGGACTTTTCCTGTAAACCAATTTAGAAAAAACATATTTTTTTGGGCAACTTTATGGATATAGAGTTAAATTGAAATCCAATGTTAAGTTTCAATATTGTACTTTATTAAAATGATAAATATTATTTTTTTAAATGATAAATATAGATTGGAAAATTTTTATATATTAGAAATATATATTGATTATTAATTTTATAATTAGCTTATAATGGTGCTGTATTTTTCTTGTGAAATATTTTTTTAAAAATTAAAACTAAAGAGTTAGCGTCTCTTATGCCTTCGACTAAAATTCATTCTTGTGTTACTAGTCATTCAATTAAGTCTCATCCTTTTTTTGTTACTGCTCCTAAGTGCTCCAAAAACTCTTATTTGTCTAGTTTTTTTCCTCGAACATCTGTTCTTTGGAATTCGCTTCCTTTATCTTGCTTTCTTGATTCATATAATTTTCAATCTTTTCATCTGTCAATCGTTATCTTGCTCTACAACCTTCATCTTTTCTCTTCCAGTAACTTCCAACACTAATTAGTGGTTGCTTGCAGCCTTGTTGGAAGCGAAGATGTTTAAAAAAAAAAAAAAAAAAAATTATTTTAAATAATTTTTAAAATTTTATAAATTTTAACAACTTTTTAAACTTTTAAATTTTAAAAAATTTATAAGCTTATTAGCAGCTTGTTGGTTTAAATAAATAAACATTAGCAGCTTGTAGGTTTAAATAAATGAGCATTACCAACTTGTAGGTTTAAATAAATAAAAACTAAAAATTGTTGTATTTTTATTTTGTTTTTGAACTTCAGAAATTTCATTTTCAAATTTGTTTTTTATTCTTTTAAACTTTAAGTTTTAATTTATCTTTTTCAAACATGAAGTAAATTTATATTTAATTAACTTTATTCCAGCAATATATAAAATATAATAATGATAACATTTACATGTTATCTCATTAAAAGTGAATTAGGCTACAAATACCTCAATTAAAATTCAATTTTCATAAATTCTTAAACTACTTAAATATTTAAATATTTTTTCTGTTGTTTTTATGATTGAAATAAAAAATTGGAATCTGATGGACATTTTGCTGAAACTGTTGCTGAAACTGAATAAAACAACACTGTTAACACTGTTGCTAAAACTGAATAAAACAAAAATTTAGAAAGTGCAAAAGATTTTGTATAGCTAAACAGAATAAAACAAAATATTTTGAAAGTTTTTTAGAGAGTTATAAAATAAATATAAAATTTCTCTTAGAAATAATTTCTAAAATTATTTTTTACAGGATCATGAAAAAGACAAAAATGAAAATATATAAAAATATACATAAACATTTTATTATTTTAATGGGTTCTTTTTCGTATGTTAATAACACTACAAAACATAAAAAATTTAAAACAACAAGTAAAAAACTATGATTTAATTGTTTTTACTTCACTAAAAAATTTTATATTACAGCTAATGCACACAAATAATTAAGAATAAAAATCCATCACCAGCAAATTGGTATAATCTTTTACAAATGATTTAGGACCTTTGAAATAACTTTTAAATATGATTTAGAACTTTTGAAATAACTTTTAAAAAGGACATTTAAAATAACTTTTTATCAAAATCATTTATTAAATCATTTGTAAAACCATCTGCAAAACTCAACAGTCCTGCTCTTTACGAGATTTTAAATTTGATTTATCTTCATATCTTCAGAAGTTTTTTTTTTTTAAACACCTTCACTTCCAAGAAGGCTGGAAGCAACCACTAAATAGAGTTGGAAGTTACTGGACGAGAAAAGACAAAGATTGTAGATCAAGATAACAATTGACAGATGATTGAAAAATTGCAAATTATATGAATCAGGAAAGCAAGATAAAAGAAGCGAATTCCAAAGAACTGATGTGCAAGGAAAAAAGTGTAATAGTTCAATGATCATTTTTCTTTGATTTGCAAGAACTCCAACAATGACATACTTGTGATTACATTATAAAGTCAACCCTTTATTTCATTTGTCTTTACTTCTTACAACTTAGAGCTGACTCATTTAAATTCTTACAACTTAAAGCTGACTCATTTAAAGCGGATTCCTTTTGTGCTTTTCTTTGTGATAATAATTGAGCTGTTATTTTACCTACCTGCTGAAAAGTGTACCTCCTATAAAAATCCTGGATTCAGGCAAGTGATAACCTCTTTGATATATATTATCAGAAAATTCTCCTGAAAACAATTAACTTATTATTGTAAAAAAGAAAAAAAAGATATTTTATAGCACTATTCATCCATTATTCTCTATTATAAAACTTAACTATTAAAATTAAATTTGTATTTTAAACATTCCTTCTCTTATATATGAGTCCAACCTTTATTTTTGTACCTGCTGGAAATGTCACCTGTTACTACTTTTAAAAACTTTACTTTTATAAATTTTTACTTTTATAAGTTTTTACTTTTAACATCTTTTTTAACATCTTTTACTTTTATAAATTTACTTTTAATATCTTATCTTGAGTGCAACTTACTCAATAAGAATCAATACAAAATTTAATCCTTTCAGTTTTAAGCTGATTTGTTAACAAAAAAGTTTTATTGCGAATTAGAATGAGGCAGTAAGGAAAAAATTCTCTTGACATATCAAAGAATAAAAGACTTTATCAAAAGTCTTTTATTTTTATTAAAGATTCTTTTCAAAGACTTTTGATAAAGAATGATAATCTTTTAAAAGTTATTAAATCATTTTTTTTTACTTTAAGTATCAAATCATTCCTTTTTACTTTAAGTATCAAATCATTCCTTTTTACTTTAAGTATCAAATCATTCCTTTTTACTTTAAGTATCAAATCATTCCTTTTTACTTTAAGTATCAAATCATTCCTTTTTACTTTAAGTATCAAATCATTCCTTTTTACTTTAAGTATCAAATCATTCCTTTTTACTTTAAGTATCAAATCATTCCTTTTTACTTTAAGTATCAAATCATTCCTTTTTACTTTAAGTATCAAATCATTTCTTTTTACTTCAAGTATTAAAGTCTTCCTTAATGAACAAACTTCAAAATGTGTTTTTCATCTATATAAATGATCATTATGATAATCTTCCTTTTAAAGTTCTTCACATGACAATGATACAATAAAATATATTTTATTATAAAATAATTTTTGCTTAAAACAAGTAACCAAGATTGAACAAGATCTCTCCTCTGAAATAGTTTGGCAACTTTTAACAAAGGTTATTTACTGATACAAGCAATACTCTAATTCAAACTTCTATTTTATGTAGATATTTCTTTAATGATAACTCATGGAAATCTTAGATCTAAACTTCCTAGTTCTATTTTCTACCTCTGTAAATTTCTTACCAGTTCCTCATATATACTTACTGTGTTTTAGTTACTGTTTTCTCATTTAGAATGGTTCATCTATAAACCTTGTTTACTTTTTAAACAAAGTTTAAAAAGTAAAAGTTGGAGCTGCTAATTTAACAGGAAATTTTTAACTTTATTGTAAGTGTGCATCTCTTTCTTTTTTCTACTAACATTAATGTTGCTCAAGCAACTTATTATTTTAGGCATAATCTTGTTTGATTTGACATTTAAATTTACTTTAACTTTTCTTTAATGTTCAAATTTTTTTTTTCTCTTTTTATAATAAAAAGAGAAAAAAAAATTTATTATAAAAAAATTTTATAATAAAAAACAGGCATCATCTTTATCTTTATTATTTTTATGGTTATTATTGTTTATCGTTATGATTACATCTTAGAAAAATCATAAAACTTGTGTTGTTCATTGGAACATTAAACAATATCTGACCTTTTGTTTTTTATATTTACATTACATAACATTTACATTTGCTACATTACGCAATTAGTAAAAACACTCAAAAAAATATACTTTTTTGCCAAATATGTTTTATTTATGTCAAGATACTCAAGTAAAAGAACAAAAAATTTAAAAAACCTTCGCATCCTAAAGCAGTCATCATTTGTGTTCCATTAATTAATGCCAATCCCTAAATTTAACAAACTAATGAAATTAAGAAAGCAATTGAAATTTAATTAATATTCAGCAGCGACGTATCCAGGTCAATTTTAATAATGGTATACCGGTATGGACCCCCAAAATTCAGTACTAACTCAATTTAAAACAGTTTTATATTAACATCTAAAAAGTAAAAATAAAATAATAAATAATTTATTGTCTTGCTGTTTTGTGATAAAATTTGTTTTGATAATTATGATAATACATATGTTATTAATGTCGCTTAGAAAAATGACTTTTAAAACTTCTTATAAATGTATTTCAAGTAAATCAAAATGCTTAATTCGAATTCATGTTGATGGAATGTGGAATATGTTGTAATTGGATTAAAATCTAAAACACACATTTCGATTGAATTAAAATATGAAATGCTTAGCAATTTTAAATAGAAACATTAACATTTTAAAAATACTCTAATTTGAGTTTCTCCTCCGCTTTTGTTTTCATAACATAATTTTCAAAGCGATTAAACTATACGAGCTTTGAACTTTTTCATTTCAAATAACAGTAAAATTGCATTAAAAATATTTTAAATAATAAAACAAATAAAAGTTTTTAAAACATAATAACATTATAATAAAAAAAAAAACTTGATTTCAAAAGTAAGAGTAGAATAAGAAAAAAAAGTTATTAAATATTGAATGAATTGATCTTGTTATGCAATAAATTACAATAAATTATGTAATAAATCTTTTTAAGTCTATATAAAAGAAACATGCAAATATTATATACTAAATGTTATAATAATTGCTTGTTTATGAAATCATACTCTTTATATTAGTAAGCGAATAAAGCAAGTAAACAAAAATTAGCGGCGAATCGATGTTGGCGTTAAAGCCGCCAATTTGTAATAAAATAACATTATTATGGTTAATTATTCACATTTTTATTAAGAAGAACGCAAAATATTAGGGCGAGTTACATTATATTTAAATTTGTGTTTCAAAAAAAAAACGGTCCTCTTAAGGTAGACAGGATTTGTAGACTGGTATGCCCAAAAAATCTCTGGATATGTCACTGTTCAAAGAGAATTTTAATAGAAGGTCAACATTACTTGCCACAACTTCTAAACCAGTGGCGGTCTTACATTTTTTTAGCTTGGCCAATTTCACCCTATTTTATACTTATTTATTGTATTCACAATGGTATAAATTTAATAATTAAACTTAATGAAAACAAAACTATATATTATTTTACTCATTTTAACAAAAAATATTGCAAATAACAATAAAAAAAGAAAAGAAAAATTTAGGCAGACCTTTTTGATTGTAAAATAGTGACTTCAGAGGGAGAGATTAGACTTCAATGCTCCCCTCTGCAACCTTGAAAAGAAAAAACTAACCTTATCTCTCTCTTTTTTTAAACTTATCTCCAAGACTCCAATTAAAAACAAATAGGCCAGTCCTTTTTTTTCAAATTTCAAAATTTTTTCCAATGCATTAACACAACTAAACGTGTCAGTAATTTTTTGCACTTTTTCTGCAAATATTTATTCTTAAAGAAATCAACAAGAAAATTTTTTTGTTTGTTTCATAAACAAGGAAAATAAGTTTATTTCAAAAATTAGGAAATTGAAGGAAATTATATTTAAATCAAATCAGGGTGAATTAAACTTACTAAAAAAAATTTATCAAAAAATAAACAAAAACCTTTGGCTGTTTTAATTTTTTGCCATTTTTATTTCCATTTCTTAATCTATTTATTCTAAGCTCATCAGACTTATAATTCTGTTTTATTTGTAATAAAGGTATTTTTTAAATTGGTTATAAAACTATTTGTTAAAAAGGTATTTGGATTGATTAATCGAATCCAATTATTTAGTGTAGAAAAATGTAAGTAAACTTTTATTAGGCTTTTTAAAAACTTTTAATAAAAAACACTTTATTTTGAATGACAGAGAATCAAGTTTGTTTGTATTATTTTTCATTAAATCAAAAATTGAAAAATTATTTTCAGTGTTAAGATATTTAAGGAACAATCAGTTTTAAAAAAGTGTATGGATTAATTTTAAAATTTTTATATCTTCATTTAATTAAATTTGTATAGTATTTACATTAGTTTGTTTTTAAATTTTCTTTTTATAAAATAATTATAGAATTTTTTATATTTTAAAAAGAATATTTTAAAATGAAACAAATTTAAATAAAAGTTTTCATTACTTAACAAATTACTTAAAAATTTTATGATTTTATACATTTTATAAAATTTTATATATAAAGCTAATGTTCTTCTTTTTGTGTAGGAGAGTGCAATACAAAAATTAAGATTCTTAACAGCATTCACATAAAAATGAAGACATTTTGTGTCTAATTTAATTTTAATTATATTTTATATTTTGCATTTTGTTTTAACAATGTGCTAAAAGTTTCATTTTTTTTTATTTATTTAGCAAGTTATAACTTTTTGAAAAAAAAATTTTTTTCCTAACAAAAGTGAAAATCAAAAAACTGGATTAACCAGACCAGATCTAAAAAAAAAAAAAAATTAACATTCTATAAACTTTCTTTTCAAAAAAACAATATGGTGTTAAAAATGATGAGGTTTTTGTTAATATCTAAATAACTTGTTTTGTTTATTTTGACTAACTTTTAATTTTTCAAAATCCAGCTAAGATATAAATATAAAAAAAGGCTAATATTTTCTTTTTTTTTAAACATTTTTTATTTAGAAAATAAACAAAAATAAATAAAAGTAAAAAGAAGAAACAATTTTCTTATTTCTGTACAAAAAAAATTCTATCGAGATTAAAGTGTATTGCACTTAAAACAAACCAGAAACAAAATAATTTAGTTGAGCAAACTTTTTATTGTTTGATTATATTTGATATCTGTTTAAATATTTGTTTGTTTATGAAAGTTTTTGCAGCATTCTATTACATTAAAATGATAAAAAACAGGTGAAAAACAGCTACTTTTTACCTACTTTTTACCTAAAAATTGTCAACCTCATTTCTATGTTTTATGGTCAGACCTTTGTAGCAAATAATTTTTGTCGAACTGATGCCGACCTCATTTTTCCTAATTCCAAGGGTTGTTGCTACCATGTACATTATTGAGACCATATTGACTACAAGTTTGATCCTCACATTTATGCTTTAAATTAATGCAAAAATACTAAACATAAAAATAGCCATAAAAAAATCATTTTTCTTTGATATTTGCTGTATTAATTTATGGAAATAATTTTTCTTTTTTAAAATCAAGTCTCTCACCAGACTCATCTCACCTACTTGTTCTTTGTAAAACTAATTTAAATTTAGTTATAGCAACCTTGTATCTTTGTGTCAAATGGCTAATAGTAAGCAACCGGGGTTGATATTTGACCAGGGCCGGGTTTGATAAAACATAGCCAGTGCAGGGGCCGGGTTAGTGACCAGGTTTTCATTAATATTGATATTCCTTATAAATATATTATTTTTATTTAAAATTCATGATATACTTTAGGTATATATATCATCTCATCGTCATCGCCATCATCATCATCATCATCATCATCATCATCATCATCATCATCATCATCATCATCATCATCATCATCATCATCATCATCATCATCATCATCAAGCATACAGTTGATGATGATTAAGATGATTCTGATGATGATGATGACAATGACCATCATCATCATCTTAATCATTGGCATCATTATCATCTTCTCTGATACAAACTATAAATATAATTACTACTCTCATACTATCTCTAAGATCATTGCTTTTTTTCCTATCTTTTAAAGACACCATATATCCATCTGATCTACTTTGTTCTTTACGGATAAAAGAACAAACAAGTCAGTGGCCATCATGTAATAAATTGATTATTTGAAATTTTTAAACAAAGTTAATAATTTGAAGAAATATTTAAAAATTGATAACAATCAGGGTGTTTAAAATATCCTAAAATAATTTCATAAGATAAATTTATTGTAAAATTGCATTTACATTTAAAATGTAAGTAACTTTTTAATTGTAATTTTAATCAATAGAATTACATAGTTGAGCTATTCAAGTATTTAAATGAAAAGAATAATAAGAAAAAATTTATTTAAATGTAAAGAATAATAAGAAAAAGCGAATAGATATTTTGGAAGATCCATTATTATATTGGAGTCTCATGAAAAGGGAGTTGCCAACGCTAGCAAACTTGGCAAAAGTATATTTATGTTCACCCTCAAACTCAACAACAAGTGAGAGGAAGTTCAAGGTTTCAAAGTTAATACAAAAAGATCGCATCAGACTTACAACACAGAATGTTGAAACACTTCTTTTTTTTAAATACAATTTAAGGGCTCTTTCTAATTCAACATATTTATGTGATGCCCCTGAAGACTTTACACCACCTAATTCAAAATACTATGATGTCTGGGACACAGAATCATCAGAATCAGAGGAAGAAACTCAAATTATTATAAAGTGTCTTATTTCTTATTTGTCTTTGTAAATATATATGAATTATATTATATTTTTATATATTATTTTTGTGACTTTTTCTTATATTTCCTTAAACTTTCACAAAATATTTTTACTTGACAAAATTTAAGGAAAAAAGCAACAAAAACAACAACAACAAAAATCCAGCCCTGGCTAGTAACCCCTGCAAATTGAGTTTGTTTAGCTGGGGCAGGGGCCGGGTTTGCAAAAACCTCTGTTTTTGGCCAGGGCCGGGGCCAGGGCCGAGAACCCGGTCACTTACTAATGGCTAATCATATAAAGCTGCATGTTTGACCTGGGTATATAGTTACATGTCATGTCCATAACGCGTTCTGAAACAAGGTTTTAATCAAATCATGTCTGATCAATTTAAATCTTTTTAACCAAGTTCTATTTTATTATCCATTTGCCATTACCCAATCATTTGTTCATATTTTAAAAAACTCTAATGCCATTCTAGTCTTTTCAACTATAATTTAATTAATTGTAAACATTGTCTGTTCTATCAGCAAAAGCCAAAACTTCTTTACAATTGCTGCATCCCATTCTTTTAACTATTGACATTGAACCTACTTTGAGGACTGTTTTTTTATTTTTTTAACTTTTATACTAATTTTTTTCTAGTAATTTTCAACTTCCATATCCCCAGGGTTGTAACCACCATATCAAAAAAAATTTAAAAAGTAGACTCTTTGACTGCAGTGACCCCCTTAACCTTTGGGAGATTAATAACATTAAAAAAAAAAATAAAAAAAAACAAGAGAATGGTTTTCTACAGCCTTTTGTAAGTGATCTACTTCATTAAAAAAATTTACAGATCTTTTTGTAACTAGAGAAAGATTGTTGGAAAGAAATGATTAAAAATGGCACATCACCAAAAAAAAAATCAATTCAGCAAATAACATTAAAAAAAATCAACATAACACATCCAAAAAAAAAAAATCATCAAGTTCACATGACTTTACAGGAATCATAATAGGATGATATCAGCTGACATCATATCAAAGTGATTCAACATAAGCTGATTCAGTCAAGAACATAAAGCTGATTCAGTCAAAGAACATTAGAAAACGGAGATTTAACATAGAACATTAGAAAAAGTGGATTCAGTCAAAGAACATTAGAAAAAGGTGATTCAACATAGAACATTAGGTGATTCATTAAAAAAATGTAAGATTTTTATTTCATAGAATTATTTTTTTTGTTTTAAAATTTTATTTTATAAAATTATTTTTGTTTATTATATTCAAAAATGTATACCTCTTTAGGTCCTAAATCTAATTTCTTTAAGCCATGAACGGTTAAAACCTATTATAAAAAAAACTGTTAAAATAAATTTGCCATGATAACTTGTAACTTTAAATAAATATAAATAAAATGCAAATACAAAATATCAAATAAACACTTAGATACCAAATAATCTTGATTTTCAATTATGTGAATTCTATGTGAATTGTAATTGATAAAAACTTATATAATTTTAATGCATTGAAACCTATGTAGTATTGGCATAATGAAAATGTTGAGAGTACCATACCCATATAATCCCATACCATTAGACTTGAATCAGTGCCAAAAAAAAATATGCTCTTTTTTTATTCAATTAAAAATTATTTATCATTAGTAATAAATAGAAAAAAAGGAATCCATTAAGATAATACATTGTCTTAACTTTTCAGTTAACAGAAAAAGAAAATAAAGCTTGATAAAGTTAGATATTGGCAAAGCAAAGTTATTTAAGCAGAGGTTTCTTTAAGCACAGTGTTTTGTAACAGCATTAATCAATATTCTTCAGTTCTGAAAAATATTGTTGGCGATAATAACAATGACATCTATAAATAAGATAGTGTATAATATAATCTCCACACATAAAGATAAATAATCAGTAATTTCTTTAGATAAATTATGTGTTTTATGCTGTTGGGTCAAGATAAATTGGAAACTTGGAAGTATTTAAGACTCTTTATCTTCTTATTAGTACTTTAGACAGCGAAGGACACTTATAAAAGAACAATTAGTTATTTTTTTAATTTTTTGAAACATAGTTAAAAAAACACTTCCAGTTAAAGCACACCCACAAGATATTTACTAATATTTAAGTCTATCATTTTGGCAAAAGACTAGAGAAATGCCATCATTAAAACGATTTACAGGTATGAAATTAAAAATTACTCCAATGAAAAAGGAAAGGAGGGAAGAAGAATTTACATAAACGACATCATCAAAACTATAACTTCGTATGGCACTGGTTAATACTTTATTGTTGTAAAGTAAGATTTATATTTATTATCATGGTAGAAATTATATTTTTAAAAATCTTTTTTTTTATTAAAACTATTAATAAAATCTTTTTAAATTATTATTGAACTATTATATATTTCAAAACTCAATTAAAAATAAAAATTTTTATCACTATTATTATATAAAGCTAAAAAAAAAATTAAAAGTTATAAAATAATAATAGAGAAACCGTTGAAGCATCAGTCCAACCAGTCTTCGGTCCCCACATTGATCCTTCTCCAAGTAGTCCTAGTACAAGATGAGATAATGGTCCTAAATCCCCACTAGCACCAACAGTTCCTTTTTGAGGAATTTTTGAAATGCAACCAGCTATTTAAAAAAGGATTAGCTAGTTATTTAAAACAAAATATTTATAGTGGTAAAACCAATTAAACACTTATTTGATTACAAAATATTTAGAAAAATATTATATTTACCCTAAATTTATTATATTAATTTACTTAAAATTGGTAGTGGCATAGTGGTAGTGGCATAGTGGTAGAACATGCTTCCTAAGCAAAAGATTTTGAATTCAATTCCCACAATACCTTTAGAGCTCAACTTGTTCATGTTTTAGAATTAGAGAGATGAGAAACCCTCTCTCACATATATATGACCACAGTATGTATATAAAAAAGAATGAAATAAATATGTAACCACAATATGTATATAAAAGTAGTCTTTTCAAATGTAGTGGCCCCTTCAGCCTTAGGGAGGTGAACAAAAAACAAAGGTCCTAATAAAGACTTAAAATTATTATTTGTTCTTGGTCTCTTGTGTATAAGAGCTCCAAAAATGATAAAAAAATGAACATTAAGAAAAATATTTGTTGAATTTATGGTCTCAGAAACTGAGCTTAAGCCTGGAGTTAAAAAATGCCATTAAAGGATTCCGAGTTTAAATTGGTAATTCTTGTATCCTATGCCTAGAGGGTGTCGATTCCCACATTTTTTTGATTCCGGGAAGTGGGAAATATAAAAATATCTTTATGGATTCCTAGGAATTAACCAAAAATAAATAAATTTCTTAAACAAATATATAAACATGAGAATAACTTTTAATAAGAAAACAACATTCATTTTTAAAATATTTTATTTCAAAATTGTATACACAAAATGTTTTGAAAATTTTTTTATTTAATAAAATTATTAATTAACAAAACATTTTTCTTTACTTTTTTGAGTCCAAGTTTGATATGGTTTGGAAAGAAAAATTCAAAAATATTAAGACATGCCAAGAATTTAGAATTCAAAGAGGAACCTCAAGAGCTCATTAAAATCAGAAAATATTTTTTCAATTCTTTAAATACTTTAATAAACATCAATTCGAGTCATTTTTTTTTTTTTTCTCAGAAAATTGCTCCACTTTAGTATGCATAATTAAATTTCTTAATATATATATATTAAGAAAATTTAATTTTACTTAAGCAAAACATATTTTAAACTTATTTGGCTAGTAAATAACTTTTTAAAATTGCGGCAGTCTAGAGATGAGTCACTAAGTGATGATCTTTGTTTTGAGTAGAGATTAGACGACAATGAAAATACTCTTTTGCTTTCTATTGAGGTTGGCTGTATGCAAGTTAAGGCATCAAGCAGCTTTTTTAAATTATTTGTAATATTTCCAGTATTCTCATACATTTGAAATTCTTTTTTGAGGTCTTTGTTAGAATCTTTATAACACACTTTTTAGGTTTATATGCTGCATTTATAGCTATTGCCAATCTGTCTTTAATAGGCTTTTTTTAGAGGATTCACTTTCGAAATCTTTACTGAATATTCTATTAAATATGTCATTTGCGTAACAAATAATTGCAGATTTTGAAGATGAAGGTAGCTCAGGAGTAGCATCATTTGTGGTTTACAGTCTCACTTTTGGATCTATTTAGAATGAATACACAGGCTTCCGAGCTGCAGGTGACCAAAAAAAGAGTACAGGACTTTCTAAATGTTGTGCATCAGCACATTCAACAACAGCCATTTCATGGAGGACAGTTAGCTGCAAATGATTGCAGAAAGTTGACATGCTTCAACAACTTGCAGAGGCAAATTCTTGTTTCTTGGCATTGCCATTAATTGATACATTCCAAAAGTTTGATGCAGCTGTTCATGCCTGTTTTGGAAATACACTTGAACTGAACTACTGTGAACTAATTAGGGAATTCAGGGACTCTTATCTCAAGCTTTCAAACACAAGCATCACTCCCAAAGTACATGTAGTCTTCTATTTCTTTCCCCAGTTTATTAACTAGCATAACCAATATTTGGGTCTGTATTCACAACAAGCAACAGAGTTGCTGCATCACAACTTCAACAATAATTGGCATCATTTCAAAAGGCTTAGCAACCACCCAGACTACCCGAAGAATCTTCTAAAGAAATTGTAATGTTTATGTTTTTGTTTGTAAATATATTGTTGCAAATAGAGTGTTTTAATGCACACTGTGGAGAGACTTACTCGCTTTTGCAAGGATTGTCTTATAGTTACTTAAACCAGGAATTTAATTTAAATTGCCATTTAAGTTTCTTTTCTTGATATTAATGTTATGAACATGTTGCCAATGTCTTATTAATCCACTGGTTGACGAGCCCTTACAAATTAATAATTTATTTGGACATTTCAAACACTTAGCTTACTAAGCATTTAGCGTTTGTATTAGAAACAATGACTTTTATGTTTGCTTTGAATCATGCTTAATTAAAGAAATTATGATTTGATTTTTACATTTTTCTATATTTTAGGTGACATATAAAGTCAGATTATACACATTAAATAGTTTTGTGCAAATAAATATACTTTTATTTTGAATAAATTATTATCCTAATATAATAAATATATACACAAGTATTTCTTTGATTTTAATTTTTTCCCAGAAATAATTGGTCATTTTCCCGGGTAATGAGAAATATGAAATATAAAAAATTCCTGAAAATTCCCAGGAAGAGCCCTCTATATACACACTGATTTTACCCTAAAAGCAAGTCTCTCAATAATTTTAAAGCTTTTGAACAACAAAGTTAAATAGTAATTTTGTGACAAAAAAAACTTTTTTTTGAGGCTTCCGACCCCTGACTACAACTATTTTATTATTTGATAGTATTATAATAATATATTGTTTATAATTGGAAATTTATTATACAAAAATTACATTCTTTGTTGTTTTTTTTATACATCTTCATTCCCAACAAGGCTGCAAGCAACCACTAATTGGAGTTGGAAGTTACTGGAAGAAAAAAAATGAAGATTGTAGAGCAAGATAACGATTGACAGACAACTTAAAAGATTGCAAAATATATGAATCAGGAGAGCAAGATGAAGGAAGCGAATTCCAAATAACTGATGTTCAAGGACGAATAAGAGTTTTTGGAGCACTTAGGAACAGTAACAGAAAAATAATGAGACTTAATTGAATGACAAGTAACACAAAAATTAGTAGATGGCACTAGCTCTTTAGAGTAGTGCCCATTATAGTATTTGTAGAAAAAAGAAAGAGAAGCAACATTACAATGATGTGATAACGATTGAAGATTAGCTGCAAGAGCAGGTCTAACTATGTTTACAATGCTTTTGTGCACCTTGTTCAAAAGAGACAGGGCATCATTAGAAGATCCACCCCAGATATGGCAACAGTATTCCATACAAGGCCGGATTTGCGATTTATAGAGATAGAGAATAGAATCTACGGTAAGAAAGTGTCAAGCTCGATAAAGAGATGCAACCTTAGCAGATGCTAATTTTGCAACAGATTTGATATATGGTTTCCAAGAAAGATCGGAAGTAAGCGTTAATTCTAGAAGATGAAGGATACATGATTCATCGAGTACATTACCGTTCATAAATATAGGAAGGTCTAAATTATTGTGATAACAATTGGCTGAAAAAAAATTGAGTAATATGTGAATTAAAATTCAACAGCGATTGTGAGCCACATGCTGTAAAAGAAGTGAGATCTTTTTTCAAACTGAAATACCCCCTCTAATCAGAGTGGAGACTTTTTATCATGACAAGATTAAATGGTAGTATTATCAGAGAACAATGCCACCTTGTGCCAGATGTGAGTATCTGGAAATCGTTAATGTAAACTGAAAAGAGTATAGGGCCAATAAATGAACCTTGAGGAACTCTGAGGTTACAAAATAAGAAGAAGAGTGCTGTCCATCAAGGACAACTTTTATACTATGATTAGAAAGGATTCAATAAATCTTAAAGATATTTCCAAATACACCATAAGAAGAAAGCTTATGGAGAAGACCAGCATGCCAAACTTTATCAAAAGCTTTAGAAATGTCAAGATTGATAGCCTTAATCTCTCCACTTTTATCTAATGCATGATAAAACCTATCAATTGTTACTGTTAGCAAATCAGCCATATAACGAGAAGATTGAAATCCATACTGATGATCAGAAAGTAAGTTATTAGATTTAAGATAAGAGATTAAGTGTTTGTTAGTTAAAGATTCAAAAACCTTGCTTATGAGAGGAAGAAGACTAATGGGACGGTAGTTAGACAAGTCAGATCGCTCTCCAGAATTTTAAAAATAAGGATAACAGATGTTGCTTTCAGCAGGCTGGAAAACAAGACTCTGATAAGCACTTGTTGATTAGTTTTGAAAAGATAGACAACAGCTCCAGAAAACAATTCTGCAAGACTATAACAGGTATGTTGTTCTAGCGACAAGCTGTAGAAGAGTCTATGCAGGAAATTTCTTTAGATACAGAAGCTAGAGTGATAAGAATATCAAGCAATAAATCAACCTGTTTGATAGATATATCAGGTAGAATGCAACTAGTGGAATTAAGATATGATATTGATGAAAAGTTCTTAGCAAACAATTCAGCTTTGTCTTAGGGTCAAATGATAAAGTCTAAACCTTACAAGAGAGGTTTAGACTTTATCATCTAACCATAAGACAAAGCTGATACTATAAAAAAATACTTATATAACTTTGAATCCACAAAGTTATGTAAGAATTTGTCAACAGGAAGTGCAAAGATTCTTACCAAAGGGCCATCACAAAGAAAATCATGGAAAGAGTCCCAGTCAGCTATAATGTAGTTGTAAGATGAACAATGGGGGATTCAAATGATGAAGAAGAATGAGAGAATAGTTTTAGAGAGATCAAACTGTGATCAGAAGCACTTAAGGGTGAATGCAGAGAAACTGAGCACTGACTAGGATCAGAAACAAGACATAAGTCGAGTAGAGAAGGTAAATGATTCGGGTTTTCTCGAAAGCTAGTTAGAAAGCTGACTATTTGAGTTAAGGAATGAGAAAGGCAAAAATTTGTGGGCTTTGATGCCTGCAGAGTAACTGAAACTAGAACCAAGTCATTCAGTGTGATGAGCATTAAAGTGACCAACAACAACAATATTGGCTGATGGATAAAGAGAGAGGGCTTGGTCAATATGATCAGAAATAACATCAAGAAGAGTGCAGTCTTAAGATGAAGGAGAGCAATATAGAAAAAAGAGAAAGGTGATAGAGTGAAGTGGTGCCAAACAAAAGCACATAAAAGAGTAGCCTGTGAATTTAAATCTAGTTTCCCGACAAATGGGTGAATTCTTTTGAATGTAAATGCCCAGGCCAAGCATGTGACTATTGGAGTCTTTACAAATTAAAGTAAGATAACCATCAACACAAAGATCACAAGATGAGACAGTTGAACTCAAATTAGTCTCACAAAGAGCAAGAAGGTCTGGTGAACTTTGCAAAGAGTAAGACTCAACAGAAGAAAAGTTACTTCGAAGAGCACAAATATTAGTGAAACTTTATTCATTTTTAAATTTGTTAAAGAACTTGACTAGAAACATAGATAGCACTCAGTACACTGTTTAATAGCCCAAGTGATTGCTTCATTGCAATTAATAAACCCTAAGCCGTAAAGAAGGGTTCAATGTGACCTTGGCAATACACACCAAAAATATAACCAAGGACACCGTCCATGCACAGCATGACACTGGTAATACTTTGATATTTTTCAGCTGTTGATGGAATCAGCCTCTTTTAGAACTACCACAAAGTTCGAGAAACCTGAATACCAGCTGGACTCAGAACCATAAAACTGAGATTTAGAGCTGTACCCTCATTAGGAGATAATAGAATAAGTTGTCTAGTCACAAAAATAGAGACACAAGGAAAACCCATGCATCAAGTCAAGAAGATCCAGAATTCAACATCCTAAACTAGAAACAATGTATTAAAAATACATTTGTACCAGCCTAATAGATGGAGAAGAAGTGTGAGGCTGATCAACAAATAGAATCTGTTTTGCCCTAAAGTCATTGCCTAGGAGGCCTTTTTTAAGACAGCATCTTGGGCAGATGTTAAATGCCGGATGCATTTAACATCTGCCTAAGATGAGTACTTTTATCCAGACACTGTCTCTAGTCTTTACTTAACCAAGAGCTCCAAGGCATAGACATAAACACCCCCTGTTTATGTCAGAGTTGGCATCTCCTAGCCTTTGCCTAAAAAGGCATATCCTGCAAGGCAGCAGGGCATAAAGCAGATTGTACTGGGTTACATGTTACCAATAGCAGGTATAATATATAAATAGTAGGTATAACATATAGCAGGTATAACATATAGCAGGTATAACAAATAGCAGGTATAACATTTAATAATTTATTATATCAAGTATGCTATATTTATTTAGCTAATAATAGTACAGAACAGCTAAAACCTATTTAAAACTTTTAGTCTATTATTTTAAAAAAAATTTATTACAAAAAAACATTTAGTTTAATATAAAAATTAATTTTTTTTAATTAATTTTTTTATTTAAATTCACCTCCTTAAGGCCATTCAGGCCACAACAGTCAAGGAGGCTACTTTAGTTGTGATTACAATCTCTTAAATCTATAATTTTAAAACACGAACGTTGAAAAACAAGGCTACTTTGTAGAGAAACGAGTTAAGCACAATACTGCCAGAGATGTGGTGGGGATCAAACTCAGAACTTCTCACTTACGAGGCAAGCTCATATAGCACTACACCACTACTGTAATCAATTATTATTAAGAAATAAAAATAAAAACATATTTAAAAGTTAAATCTTTTATTTTTTTAATCTTTAGTATGTTCTATTTATTTATTTGTTGTTAAAACTTTATACAGGTAATTCCAATTTAGCAAAAAAAATTAGGCTGTTTTCCTGTACTAAATATATGATATAGATAGATAGATATACTTTTAAAAATAAATATAGTACTCTTAAGAAAAATACTTACAGTTAAATACATCAATTAATTTTTCAAGATTCTCAACAGAAATACCACTAAAAAAGAATGTGGTTAAAAATTAAAGTCATGAAAACATCACATAACTGGAAGAAATGTATAATTAATAGGATAGAAGTTATGTTTAAGTTAAATTAAAAGTTCATAAATCTTTAAACAATTATAACAAATAAATGAATTTAGAGTTCTAATACAAACTTTATTCTTTACATGATTAAATAACCCTAAAATACAAATACAAAGAAAAAATCCATAACCTGTAATACTGACCTGTAACCTTTTGCTAAAACATTGATTCTCAGTGCTAATAGACTTCTTGATCTTTCTAAAGTTAATGGCTCTCCAACACCTTAAGTAGTGAAAAACAAAAAAACAAAAAACACTATGAAAATAATTTGAATTTCCAAAATGCATGTGATCAAATAAAAAAAAAAATTTATTCTTACAAGATGCATGTGATCGGATAAGATTTAGTTGTACTTGTCTAGAGAAAAAAAAAAATTGGTAAAAATATGTTTAAAATTTTATAAACAGTTAAAACTGCAAATAAATGTTTTACTTTAGGTTTTCTTCACTAATAACAACATTTGCAAAATTTCCAAAGCCTGTTGTTACCCCATAAACAACTAAAATGAAAATGAAATGAAAACTATTAAAACCGTTATGTTCAAAAATTAACTTAAAAAAAAAGAATATAAGAATAATATTCTTATAAATACTTTTATATGCAATAATCTATTTTTATGTAAAAATATTTATTTATCAAACATATTTTGTCAACAGGAATATTTGTGCAATGAAATGAATTGGATCAGTGCTTTCTTTGTGAAAAGTGAAAATGGAGCAGCACTGCAATGCAGCTTTTGTCAATAATTAATCTAATAACCTTCATAATGAGATTCATTTATAAATTTTTTCAAAAAAATTTAAAAAGAATTTTTCAAAAATTTAAAAAATAAAAATGCTACTTAAAAATACCTTTATGTTCACGTACTATATCATTTATTAGATCGCGTGCTTTTTGCACTCTGTGGCGGGCATTTTCTGTTAACTGTAAAATAAAATTTCATAAAATAATCAACACAAGTAAAAGTATATATTTGCACTCTGTTGCATTTATTTTCTGTTAACTTTATGATAAAAATTTCAAAATATAATCGACACAAGTAAAAAATAAAAACTAATTTTATACTTGAACTAAAGATACAAAAAATAAAAATGATAAAAATTAATTTTAAATTTTTTTAGATTTATAATAACATTATTATTAGTACGATTGATTGATTGATATTCTATTCAAACATCAAATAATTGTACAAAAAGACACAAAGGCCCATACAAAGATGAACACTAACAGCCTGCCCATAATTAAATCAAAATCATGCCACTACAAAAGCAAATTATTAACAAACAAGTAGTTGATCCTTTTAGAATAAATATTTGTCAAGAGTTAATTTTTTTTTAAATGTTGAAATATTTTTTTTAACATATCTTCATTCAATTAAGTTTCATCCTTTACTGTGACTTTGATAAGTGCTCTAAAATTCTTTTTTGTCATGTTTTTTTTTTCTTGAGCATCAGTTCTTTGGAATTCGATTACTTCATCTTGTTTTCCTGATTCATATAATTTGCAATCTTTTAAGTTGTCTATTAACTGTTATCTTGCTGTATAAACTTCATCTTTTCACTTCCAGTAACTAAAGGTGTTGTTTTTTTTAAAGTTTTTTGTGATAACAAAATTTAAATATACATTGCTGCATAGTGTTTATGCTGATAAGACCTATTTGATCTTATAAGATATTGAGTCCATAATTTGAGAAAAAGTAGAGAAGAAAATAATTTCATGAAGTTTTATTAAATCGCAAACATGTTATTTAACTTTCCTGTCAGTCTATTTTGGAAAATTTAGTCAATTTCATTTTTTTTTAATCAATAATTTTTTCAGTCAATCATTTTTTAATTCCAGTCATTTTTTTTTCAGTCTGTTATTTTGGGTTGTGAATCATTTTTGGTTGAAAGTTAATTTTTCAGTTAGTTATTTTTTCAGTTAGTCAACATCAGTCATCATATGTCATACTTTTCATAAATATTTTATTTTTACTCATTAAAAAAATCTACTATAATAAGAATAATATAAATTATTTATATAAAATAAAAAAAATATTATTCATATATCCAGAAATAACATTTTATTTTAATGATTATTAAAATATATTCACTCTATTTAAAAAAAAATAGTGATCAGGAATTAGGTTTAAAAATTTCAAAAAAAAGTAAAATAAGAAAACTTTAAACCTTAATAACAAACTTTCCTTTACCACAATCAACAAGTTCTTTTGTGCTCAAAGAGTTCCCGTCAACAAAAAGCACCTGTAAAAGCAAAAGCAATTGCAAAGGATAAAATATTATTTTAAATATTTCCTCAAATATTTATTTTCATATAAAAATCAAGAAAATAAATGCATAATACATAAACCATAATAATTGCAGAAGCAATAACTTATGTTTACAAAAAAATTATATTACATAAAATAAACATGAAAATATTTCAAAGATTTTACAATATACAGATAATGATATAAAAGAAATAGTTTTTAATATTACAGGGAAAGGTCTGTATGTTCATGTGAAACCCAAAAACTTATTCAAATAAACTTTTTTATATATAACTTTTTATCACAATGAAATATTTAGTATAAAACAAATATTTAGCATAAAGTAAATATTCTAATTAACAAGACACCTTTTTATCATTTTGCTCTACCACCAACCCCCATTCTTAATGGGATTAAATGATAAAGCAAAAGGATGCCTTTTTTTGCTTCCAACCAATTTTTACTTACAATATAAACAAATAACAAAATAGATTGTGCTATATTAACTTTTGAATGTTAAAAACTAAATTATCATTTTGTCTACATTTTTTTTTTTACTTGAGAAAAAAATAAAATAAAAACTTTATTTTCTGCTGTTTTTATGTAACATCTTGACTTTTTTAAGTTTTTTATTAAGGTATATAAATCATAAATATAAATTGTATAATAAATTATATAAATAAATTACCTTTCTTGATGATGACCAGTTGTCAGCTTTTGAATGATCACTTTAAAGAGTTAAGTTTATTTATAAGATTGTAAAATTAAATTACAATTTATTTGTTTGTTACTATATATTTAACTTACATTACATCACTTACTTTACCAAGCGATTATTATTATGAAATTTTTATATCTACTATAAATAGTTAGATTTTTCAGAGTTATGTAACAAAAGAATTGAACTCATTCATCAAAAGTAATTAACAAAGTCAATTTAAAAAACTGTTGGCACTCTTCCTGACTGATTTTTCATAACATTTATTAAGTTTGTCAAATCCAAAAACAGTTAAAAATTAAATTACAATTTATTTGTTTGTTATATCAACTTTTTTTTTTAACAATAAAAAAAGAATCAATTGTGGAAATTTGTTTCGTTATTAAAGAAGACAAATCAAAAATAAATTTGGCAAGTAAATAATATGGTTGAAATAATTGGTTAATTATGGTTGAAATAATTGGTGAAAAAAGTGAAAAATCTTTACTGACTTAATGCACTTTAGGCCAACAAAATAAATTTTACTGTAAATATCTTTTATAAAAAATTTTCTATCCCAAAATACTCTTGTATAAATACTTTTCTTTTAATCATCTGATTTTTTTAAGTTAGTTTATTAAGGGTCGTCCATAAAGTATGTACGTTTGGATAAGGAAGTGGGGGTCTGCAAATAGTGTATATGACAGATAGTCATATACACTATTTGCAGATATTTTAAAAAAATAGCATAAAAAGTTTACTTTAAGGGAAATAGAGGGTAATCAAAAATGCTTAAGCAAAAAAACGTGTGTGTAGGGGGGGGGGGAGGGAGGGGTTAGGAGTCGACCCTTTACTTATAAAATTATTTAAAGATTGTAAGTAGCTAAAATTAATTTACAGGTCTTAAATTTCATTTAGCAATCTTTTAGCGTTTAAAAATAAAGACCATGTAAAGTTTCTCACCTCCCCAAAATAATAGGTTATAAATTTTGCTAAAATAATAGGTCATAAACTTTGCCATGCTTATAAACTTTACCATGGTCAGTTACTAAAAATGGTCATATGTTTAATGCTTACACAACCACTAGTTATGGTTTAAAAGCAATGAATTTGAATATTTTAAATATTTTTATAGTAATTTAAATATTTTAAATATGATAAAGTTGAAAATTTTATTAATCACTGCCCTCATTTTTTGAAATGAAAGAAAGAGGGGGCATTAAATGATATTAAGTACTTTAGAAATATATTTATGAATATCTTTGGATCTCAAGTAAGAATCTCTTTATACTTATCATAGGTGTATGTAAAGAGAATAAAATAAAGTAAATAAAAAACTGTCAATTAAAAAACTTAATAAACTTTATAAATAATTTTAAATATAAATTTAAAAAAGATACTGTTCATTTGTTGTTGTATTGAAAATATTATCTACTTTTAAGTTTTCTAAAAGAAAAACATTCAAAAAACAACATAAAAAATAAAATCAAAAAAAAGATGCACGCTTCAAAATTAAAAAAAAAAATTCAAAATAGTAAAGATTACTGTCATCATAAATTTCTAGTTAGTTAAAACTGTTATATACATTATAAAAATAGTTTCTATAAAATAATGTGTCAGAAAATGTGTTAACCACTAAGAATGATGCTTTTGAAACATCATAACTTAATGAAACAAAAGTAAAATTCAAAACCCTTTTGCACATACCTATAATATTATATTATACATCAAATGACCAATTGGATTTGCAAAATCATTTTACCTTAAAAGTAATTTTATTTTCTATGGAAATATTGCTTTTTTTCAACGAATGTTGGTTTTGTACCTAAACAGGATTATTTCGATATATTCAGTGTTTTATGTCAAATCTACGGGTCATTCGATATTATAAATCAATATAAACGCAACTTTAAAAATTCAAGACAAAAGGTCAATTCTAGCAATAGTTATTATGTTTTGAGCGAGCAAAACCTGATAACTTGTGATAGCAAGTATGGAAAAAATTGAAAAAAGAGAGAAAAGCAAAACTAAATTAATATGATCAAAAAATAAGTTATCTACTCAGTAAGCACCAGCTTGAATCTACTAGCTATTTTTCATTTATTTTAACACAAAGTTGTTTATTTCTGGCTTGCAATCCTTTTATAATTTTTTTCTGCATCAGTACTTTTTTTTCATTCATTAAATGCTTAAAAAATTATTGCCATAGCTTTTAAAATTTCTGTTTTTCAAACCAAACTTTGGTTTGAAAAAGGGTTTTAAGGCTTTAGAACACCTTTTTCAAAAAGTGTTCTAAAACTTTCAATATACCTTTGTGTCCATCATTTAAGTGAATAATAACTGAATTTACACCCATTTCTATAGTTTACCAGATAATAAATACAGTTTTTGGTAATCTTGAGTCCATTTAGAGCCTCATTTGTGTTCTAGGTTTTTCCATGTAAACATTTATTTAACAAACCCTAATCTATTAATCCTTAAATGCTAAAAAACTAGTCAAAGTACACTCTTTATCTAAAGAGCAATTCTATTGGAGGGTTTGTAATCCTTTTAGCTCTTTGACCAGTACTTGCACTAACTAATGGTATCTTAAGGACAAATCTATGATACTTAAGTGGATCATATGTGTTTGTGAAATAATTAGTATTGTTTATATAGCTTTTTTCATACTGTTCATACTTTTTATTAGAAAGTTTATTATTACTAGTTATAGTATAGCAATCTTATTGCCAAATTTTACATAGAATCAATAAATTTGTTAGTTAGTTCATCTTTTCCAGAAACAGAAGTTTTTAAACCCTTTTAAGATTTAACAAGTTTGCATAAACAGTTTTCTAATCATTTCTGTACATTTCCAATGCACTCAAGCTTAATCGATGTTATATTATCAACATCACATAAACTATCACCATAATATGATCCATATCACCAAAGAATTCTTGTAAACTATGTTATGTTAAAATTGGTTAAATATATCAACAATATCCGATGACTCCATTGCACCATAGGACTTTTCATGGTTTATTTGACAGAGGTTAGCAATTTTTATAACATGTATTCAAGTGAGCTTTAATTATCTTCCTATATTTAGATTTTACTACCATATCCAAACACTTAATACTTGATATTGTAGTTTCTAATCTATGCAAAGAGGCAATTTTTTTTTATTGCCAGGAACCATATATGGAAACATGTATACAGGGTATGTCTTCTAATAATTTGATTTTTTTTTTTAACAAACTCCATACTAATTTTTGAAACATTTTTGTAGACAATTACTACTTTTTTGTTTAACAGTTTAAAAGAAAATGATGACATGGACTAAAAGTTCAAAATAAAGACATGGACTTAAAGTTCATGATAAAAGAAAACGTTTGCATAGATGAAAATCAACAACTTATTTCCTGAAAACCAATTTCATCTTGGACCTATAAACCAAATATTTTTTAACCTTTAAAACAATTTTTTGGTTTGTAGGAAGTCTTGGAGACGATTAAAAAGGTTCATTCACACATTAAAAACTGTGAATACAATGTACAACTGAATACAATGTGTAAAATCCATTAGCTTAACATCCTGACCAATAACAACAATATCTTTTGATTTTTTCTTTTAACAATAACAATTTTTCAAAACGTTGATGTTGTAAGAAAACAAAAAAACCTCTAAACTTTTGAGGTGTTCTTAAAAAATCATTAAAAATAAGTGTGGTATATAAAGATCTTTATATACTTGTTTTAATAATATCCATATGAGCTTTCATTATATTAATTATTATAACATTCTAAATTCAAAGACATGCAGTTCTCTTAATATAAATTTGTTTAAATAAGCAACAAGTATTATACAATCATTTATACACAGTGGCGTAGGAACAGTGGGGGCGAAGGAGCCGATAGCCCCCCCCCCCCCCCACCACCTTAAACACTGGGGGGGGGGGGGTGAGCGGAATATATATATATATATATATTTCATTTAGCCTCCCCATTTCCTAAACAGTTTAACAATTTTTTTTTATGATATCAACAGCGGAATTATCATTTTCCAGTCTGCAATGACAGTTTTATGGATATACAAAAATATATCCATAAAACTGTTTAAGATACTATCGCATACTGTTTTCAAAATGAATGTGTGCTGGCAAAAGATGTTTTTCATGGAGTCATTGCGCTGAAAAACATGCACAAACAAGAGTAATAACATTGCGCGTGATAAATAATTTAATAAATTGTTCATTTTTATCTATTTTGCGGTACCATACAAAATTGAGAAACTTTTTCCTTTTTAACATATATTTTCGTGACCCCCCCCCCCCCCAACTTTCACGACCTTTCTACGCCACTGATTATACAACAAGTATTATAACAAATATTATAACAATTTATCTCTATGTGCAACGTTTCCCAGTAAGCACAAAGACGTTTAAAAGACGTTTTAAAGATGTCTTTAAGGAGGTCTAAAAAGCGCACTTGTAGACGTCTAGATCATAAGGCTAAAAAACGTCCAAATAAAGACGTCTTTATAAAAACGCCTTTTAGACGTATTTTAGACGATTATTTTAAGATAAATTTAAGTACATGACGTAACATTTTCGCGTAGTATGTGGAATACATTCATTGTATTTATACGTCATATATTGTTATAATTTCGTATATACAAAATATACATAGAACCAAAATTTAAATAATATATAGTATTTAATCATTTATGACTTACATTTAGTTAGTAATCAATTTAACTAATTTTTGACCGCATACTTGACTTATTATATGGCTTGTGGGTGTATAAAAACTAAAAACACTGATATTTATTTTATATATTATTCTTGCCATTTTCACTTATTATCATGATCAGTCAACTATCTATTAAAAAAGCAAAATAATTATTAATAAAAAAAAGATATATTAATATTATAGCAATTATTTTAGTGATTCCTGTGACAACAATTTTAGCAATTGTGTAAAAAAGTAATTTAATTTAAAGTAATTTAGACTTAAAATTTGAACAAATTATTGAAAATAATAAAAACTATGTTTTTACTTTGAATATACGACATCTACTTAACGCGTAATGACAAAGCCGTCAAAAAGAAGTCATAATGACATATTTATAAACAGGTCTCAAAAAAGACGTCTTTTAGCCTTGATCTAGACGTCTTTTAATGCGTTTTTTAGACTATATATTATGCGTCTTTTAAACGTCTTTTTAAACTTTAAAAAGACGTTATTTTAAAAACGCCTTTATAAAAGACGTCTAGAAGATGTCTTAAAAATTGACGTCTTTTAGACGTCTTTTTATTTTTTTAAAAGACGCCTTTTGAACGTCATTTTAAAAACGCATTTATAAAAGACGTCTAAAAGATGTCTTCAAAACGTCTACAAAAGTGCGTCTTTACCTTGACTAGTTTTAGTCGTCTATAAGTGTCTAAAATGCGTCTTGTGCTTACTGGGTTGTGACTTCAAAGTATGGTATTTCGTCCACCGCAGACAGTGCCTGATTGAGGTGTGGGGGGAGGTGGGGCTAGGGAAGGGCTATAGCCCGGCCCCCACAATTTCGGGCCCCGTAAAAGATTTTTTATAATTTCTGAAAATTAAATCTTTTATTAACTTAAAAGAACCAAAGTTAAATTTACTAAATTGTATAAATAAAAAAAAGCACAAAAATAAAATAAATATTAATAAAAACGTTGCATTTTTTCACCTACTTCAACCAAAAATTACTAGATTGGTAGCAGCGCCTTATATTAAAAATCGAATTAAATATTTGTACAAATTGCTACAAAAACAATTCCATTTGGAAAATTATTAATGACTTGAATAATTATGTTGTCATTGAAAATGTCTTTACGATTGCAAATCTACAATTCTTTTGTACTTCTGCACAAAAGAATTATTGTGTGCTTTTAAAAGCTTAAAGATTCAAGAGAAAAAAAAAGTAGTTCAACAATTTTCGGGTTATAGAGTTATTATCAATAAGCTAAAAAAACATGAAAGCGGAGCTTCTAAACGGTGATTATAGAAACAGAAAGCGGAAATGGTGGCTAAACTTCCGAAAAAGACCAATTTTTGTTATCAAACCAAACCAATATGCAATTTCCACAAACTGTAGAAAATAATAATGAAAGAAAAGATAAAACAATAACACGGAAAATTAGGTAGCGTGCCTTGATCCTTCTAATGAAATACTCGAAGTTGAAAGTGTTAAATCTACATTGCATAATCATAAACCCTCAGGTATACTAATTTTCACTATCATTAATGACACCTCTAACATTTGCTAAACATACAATTTACTTTTTAGGCAATTAGTATAATTTTTTACTTTTCATGACACTCATTACATATACTTTTTATTTATTTATAAAGATTTTTTTCTTAGATACTATTCTACACAAAGACCTTTGTTGTCATTGCAATTAAAGACCCTGCTTTGTTGTCATTGCAATT